GAACTAACCCAGTGCAAGTGAGATAACTCAAGAGATGAAGGCTTGATGATCCATGATTATCCACTGATCCCACATAGAAAGAGTGAACACATTTTGGCAAATTTATGCTCTGAACTCTGACATGTGCCTTGGTACCACTAATGGTGCACAAAGCATATATACATATTAAATGCATGTTTTAAAAAGGAGTTCAGAATATCTGGTAGCATGTTATTTTTCATTTGTTGCTTCTGAATGTGTCTCTTAAACAGACATGCTTTGTTACAAAAGATTACAAGCTGAACAAGAAGGATACACTTTCCTTTTAGTTTATAAATTGTATTTATTCTTGTAGCATGTATGAATGTTGCCTGTGTTGTAGCATGTATGATGAACATAGATGCAGGCCAGGGTACAGGTATGGAGATTAGAGCAACTTCTGGATTCTCCTGTTCCATCGTGGGTTGAACTTTTATCCATTAAGTCATCTCACTAGCCTGAGGAAGACACTCCATCAGTGAAAATTATATAAATGCTATGTTCCCCTGCTAGAAATTCTAAATGATCTGGATTCAATTATACATTTCTATCATTCTATCCATAATCTTATCAGAGAATTTATACTGTTTCACATTGTGGTAGGCCTTCTTCATCTTGTCAATGTTGATATTTGTCATTATATAATTATTGGTTAAGAGAATTTTCCTGTCATTTGACTTCTATATATAGTGAATGTTATTAGTGTCCCCATGGTAGGGACCAGGGGGAAATAGCCTTGTTGAGGAATCACTGTTCTAAAGTTCAGTGTTGATCAATGAAAGAAGGACACTGTGATCTACCAGGCTCCAGGGAGATTGAAATGGCTTGACCTGTCCTTTGCAAGAACAGCTGCAGCTCCCACATGGAGCTTTTGACTGTAAAGTCTAATTACTCATGTGTTTTTGGTCCAAGAATAAAATGAACTTTTGAGACAAGTTTTTAAGGGCTCCAATAGAATCTTAAAACTCTTTACTTGAAAGGTTGTTTACTTAACTAAAAGATGATAAAGAGTAGTTATTCTTTGTTAACTTTACTTTAAAAAAAACCTATCTCTGGCCACTTCATTATTTTTGAAAGACAAAAACAATCAATTACGGCCAGGCGTTGGTGGCTCATGCCTTTAATCCCAGCACTTGGGAGGCAGAGGCAGGCGGATCTCTGTGAGTTCAAGGCCAGCCTCGTCTACAAGAGCTAGTTCCAGGACAGCCTCCAAAGCCACAGAGAAACCCTGTCTTGAAAAACCAAAAAAACAAAAACAAAAACAAAAAACAAAAAACAATCAATTACTTTTACAACTTTTCTAAGATACTGAACTGTGTCCTTCTAGATTGAAACACTGTATCCTTCAGGAAGTTTCTTAAGCAGGAAAGTAAACAAATCAAAATAGTTTCAGGAAGTCCATGAAACTGACTGGATTCACTAGGTCTGCCTTGCGAGAGTAAACAATAAAGGTTGAGAGTACCCCTCAGAAGATATCTGCACTGCTCAGAGGAGAAACGTTGCAAGGAAGACTGAGACCAGACCACCTTCCTGGAAGAAGCACAAACAAGCTGAGTTGCCTGGCAGAGGTTTGAACCAATTGTGTTATCCAAAACAGACACTCTTTAACATATTGAGCTGCCTGCAGACCATGCTGTGCTGAGCTTTGTTGATGCATCTATCCTTGCATCATTTCTTCTGTAAGTAACCCCTCACCCATATTTGTATGATACCCCAGTATAACTTCCCCAAATTGGACTTTAGTGGTATCATACTTTTGTGTATCATGGGTTCCCTGTCTGGGGTGAGCAGACTTGTGTGTTGCATCTACCCAGGAAAAAGTTATCATGCAACAGTTACAAAAGTTTCTAAGGCAGGGTTTCTGTTTACATTTTATATTGTGGAATGTGGCATAGGAGGGAGGACTCTGGTAGGAGCAACCAGAACCATTATTTAAGTCAGCAATGGCAATAGACAGAAAAATTGTTTCTGAGTCACTTCTCCTTGGAGAAGAAGCAAAAGCACTATCCATGTGACTCAGAGTTGATGCTGCCTTACCACAAAGGTGACAGAATGGCATGTCCTAGGCATAGGAGCAACACCACAGTGTGAAGTGCTATCCAACAGAACTTACCAGGAATACCACTATGACAGCTTGCTGCTACATAAAGCAGACCCAGCGCCTGGCCTGTTATGTTCAAAGGACACCTTGGGAGTGGGAGGAAGATGGAAAACACTCATTCTTCATGTACTTATGCATGCAAAAATTCCTCAGCCCTTCCTCCCTGAGCACTCTTTACCAGCATAAGGGAGAGGAAACATTATTCTCCTTTTAATGAAGGTATTAGCAAGAGAGAATGTACAGGTAGATGGACAGACAGAATGCACTCAGGGAGAGTGTTCTGAGTTGATTACCTGCCAGGGTGTTGCATGTGGAGAGAAGTGATGCTTTCCTTTCTGGATGGAGAGCAATGGGAATAATAGTATGTAAATTGATATGGGGAGAGTTTTGAAAGCTCAGCATTCCTTCTTGCCCAGAGATTTCACCTTGCCTTATTAACTATTCTAACAGCCCTGCCTTATTTTTTGTTTGTGTAAGTCTTGTTTCCTCCCATTTAGCACATAGAAAAAAGCATTAGTAACACTCTTGATTTTAAATGAACCCTATTAATATTCGTCTCTACAAGGGACTCTGGGATAATTTTGATAAATGTGGCCATGAAGCTGATCTGACAGAGCTGAGTGTGATGTTTGTGTATTCATAGGGAACTGCTTCATACCTAAAAGGGGGACAAGCTGAAGTGGGGAGCCTGACAGTTCTCTCTTTCTGATCTAGCTAGCAACCTAAAATATACATGTGATTGTACTGAAGCAAAAACAACAACAACAAAAAGCTAATGCAAACTAAACAAGCCAGCAATCCTTAGGAAGCTAAAACAAATTCTACTAGTTTGAGACTGGAAGCTCATGTGACAGTCATCAGCTGTCATAGTCCCTGTTGGCTAGAACTAGAAGGCTGCCTAGGAGGGTAACAATAACAAACCTGTGGATGCAGGAGTGAGCTGAGTAGCTTCCTGGAGACACTTTCATTTTTTTCTGTATCTCCTATCTCCCCCTAGTCATGGAACTTATCCCTGAAATACTACATGCCTTATAGTGATGATTAAATTTCCCAAATGAAAAGAAAGGGGAAAAGGCTGCCATTTCTAAAAAGACTTTATAGTAAATGTCTGAAGCTCTTGAAAATAGGATCATTCCATATACATGGGTTGCCCGAGGTAGGCCTCATGAAGGGTGTTAGCTTTAAATGGAATATATAAATAAGCAGCGAGGTATTGAAGGGTTATGAGAAGCATAAAGACAGTTATTCTCAGAGTTCAAAAGCATCTTCTACCCTAAGCAAGATAAAACATGAATATGGGCATATGGGCACACAAAATGAACGAGAAACAGATTAACTTTTACATCTGTCTTAAATATTGCACTTTATTCTCTTGGTATGCTTTTATTAATTTCTATTTTGAGTGTTGGAATTGTTTGTGGAGCAAGCATTCATTTCCTCAACAGATAGCTGCAGAGATGCCATAGTGAGTGTGTTTGAAGATCACGAAACATTAGCACAAGAGGAGGGAATGAGGACTAGGGTAATATTTGGCAGCATGGTGGTCAAATTTGAGAATAAGTGGGAAACATGGGGAAAATGACAGAAAAGGAGTGGCACCAAACCACAGACAGCTCAGGAAAATTTTATTGCGTGGGGGTAAGAAAACCCAGAACAAAAGGGTAGATTTCTTCATAAACTGAGCATTATTCCAGTATTTCTGAGAAACTGAATGGAAAGTTTGGTGTTACACAGCTATCATTTACTGAGCATGTACTGTGAAAATGAGCTTATTTAAGACTGTTTCATTTAGTTACCACTATGATGTTTGTATATTATTTATACCTGCTTTGCACAAAAACTTAAGAGATTAAAAGGGAGATTATACTTTGGGGTAAATAGCAACTGCAGGTTCTAGTTGAGGGTTCATCAAGAGTGGCACAGCCTGAAGTTTGCAATGCCAGGTCTGAGACTTCTATATTGCATGAACTATAGAATGCTGTAGTCACTCTCCAGCTATGTGACTGTCTTTCTTTTGCTAAAATGTCATATGAAGCACATCAGTTAGCACAAATCCCCTTAGAATTTTAAGCGCATACCAAGTGATTTCTTTTAACTGACATGACTTATATTGTCAGTTGCATTGCCTTTGTGACGAGGCAGCCCTCTTTCTAAATGGGTTGCTGGGAATACATCTGGTAGAGGTATCTGCATCTGGTGGCCCAATAATGGCACATTAAGTTTCAGGGTAGACTTCCTGGAAGTTGAAAAGCTCAAATTGGACTCTACAACTACACCTTTGGCAAAAAGGAACAGAAAGAAGCATAGCCCAAATAACCCATTGAATAATTGTTCTTGTACCTAACTCCCTTCTAATTGGTTTGGACACCACAGCTAAATTTTGCTCAGGCATCTGTTAGCACACATTAGTGGGTTAGTGAGTGTTGTTAAGAGGGGAGTCATAGATTAGATGAGAGACAGAGGTCAAGGACCATGGCTGAGGCTGGAAGTGGTGGAGATGTGAAAACAGAGGCAGCCTGTGCAAAGCAACATCAAATTCTTCTGCAGGACCAACCCTGGAAGGAAATTGTAATGACTAGGGTGCTGTAGCAGTTGTCTATGGCTGTCTTATCCTTTCATGAATTTTTCCAAATATAAGTACTTCTGAAGTTTTCAGGGGGAATATGGAATAAAGACAAACATTAGCAAGGCCCCACTTTCTCCTCTTCCATGTTGCATTCCCTACTCTATTATAGGCAACATGGAGCTGTGATTCTCAGGGTTTGCTCACATAACAGTCAAGCACTTGATCAAATGGCTGGTTAGGCGGGAGTTGTTCAGATCATCTCCCATGCAAAAGGCTGAGACATAACTTCAGTTTTATCTATTCCTTCTTATGCAGCTCTGCTCAGATATTTAGCTAATGTTGGAATGCAGTGCCTATCCCTTGGGACGTGTTTTTCAGCTGAGCAAGTCAGAAAAATCATCTGATGCCCTCAAGGAAATCTACCATGAGCAGGTCTGTACTGATGACTGTTCTCCCAATGAATACATTGAGAAGATTATGATCCTTCCTCAGAAACTACACAATGCTATGCATTGCAAATGACTTGGAGAAAGGAAAGGTTGTATGTTTGTCCAAGATGGAAAATCCTGTACCAAGGCAAATATTTCTATAGGAGAAGAAGATCATGGCTCCTAGCTTCCATTATAAAATGTGCTTCTAATCCTGTCACTCATAATCTAAAAGGCTTAGCTCCCCTAGTCTGCATGGTGAAGTCCAACATCCTTGTCAGGACATCCAAAGCTCACCATTCTGTCCTCAACTGATTATGCTGGCCTGATTTCCTTGGTTCATTTCTGTTTGAAACTGGTTACATGCGCTGTATCTTGAACACCCAAGCATTGTGGTGCCCTTGAATATTTCCCTGTTGTTCATTTTGCCTTGCCATGGAGACCTGCTTTATCCTATAGAGCTTACCCCATGTCTCCTCCTCATTGAAACCCATCATATTCCAGGCAATGAGTGTGTGTTTATGGAGGGGGGCAGGATTGTTCACATTGCATGGCTGCTACTATTTTAACTTTTTATTTGCACTTCTGTTACCCATTTTCCTTCCATCATCATGTATGCATGGTGAGTTTTTACAGAGGTGTGTATTTAGGTATCTCTGTGTTTCTAAAGTCTGACATAGCACTTGGCATTAGGAAAACTCTTAATAGTATCTAAATAAGGGCGAATGTATGAAAGTTCTTGCCAAATGTAAGTGTCCTGCTAGCCGATGTTGAGCTGGCTCACAGTTAGAGAACAGAACAGAACAGAACAGAACAGAACAGACTATGCTCCTTTCAGCCCTCTGGTCCATCTGACAAATGTATACATCCTAATATCTCTGTCACTTGTGCTCCTTCTTTATACAACTTGGTGAAGAGTCATCAAGCACAGTATCCTAGAATGTTACAAATCTACTCAGGAATGGGCATTTTGTACAGTTCAGTTACTGCGGGTGAGGCTATGGTGAATCATACTTGCAACCTTGAAACTGTTAAATTAGAGTAACGTCATCATGCATAATGCCTAAAGTGCCACCTCTCTCTGAACAGTGTGACTTAGTTGTAGCTTATGAATTAGAAATAACAGAAGAAATAGGATACAAACAAAGCCACGTGGCTTACATTGTGAGAAAAACAAACAAATATGAATCTACTTAAAGCTATTTTTGCATGTTCACTGTCTTAATGAAAAGGCAGAGAAAAGTATCAAATCAAAGCATTCATTTAGCACCTAGTATGTGTTAAAATATGTCATGTCTTTCATATTACTATTTTTTAACAAGGCATTGTCAAACTTCCCACTTTAAGGTGGTAACTGAGGTTTAGCAAGACTTAACAAATCATCTGGTCATAGACTGAGCAGTGTGACACCATAATGAAATCTCAAGGCCACTCCCCATTATGTTACACAATAACTTTATGCTGTCTTTTCCACTGTGAGGTGAAGCAACATATGAAGTATAAAAGAAACACATGAAATATAAAAGATACAGAAATTAAAAAATAAACTGGGCCAAGGTACTTCCTGGGAGAAATGTATGACCACTAGTGCAGGAGTATATTCAGTGGGGTCTCTGTGGGGCCTACTTTACTAAGGATTAGTACTCTAGAAATCAGTCTAGTATAGAATCCATCCCTGTGCAATCACAGACAATCATGAAGAGCAAGTAGGTCCTTTGTCTGAGTCAGAACACCCAAAATGCCCTCATGGAGTTTGGAGCCAGGAGTGTCCATCTGTCCTAGCATTAATGGCTACTGCTAAGCTAATGACTAATGACCCTACTTATGCATGACAGAATGGGAATGTGTCAGTGTTAGGAGTCTGGGAACAGCTGCTGGCGACCTACGTGGCTGTAAGTAGAATTTATGGACAGTAAAAGTTGATTCAGGGCCACCCTATGGCAAAGCTGAGAAACAGGCAGTCCATCTTCAGTGGCCTCTATATTCTCAAGTATTCCTTTCCTCCTAGTGACCGTCAGGTGTGAAGAAAGTATACAGATCCTTCCAGTAGTTTAGAGAAAATTGTTGGGTATTGTCTACCCCATCTTCCACATCTTCAACCAACAATACACGTTTGCCATTTAAACTCTGTTTTAAAGCCCAGGGATGCTGCTGGGTTGTTGTAGCACAGCTTACAGTTGAGTGGCTAGATGACAGGGTGTTGCCACTGACAACCACTCACCAAGTTGCTGTCTTGACTTGCCTTTTGTTAAATAGATAAGAGAGGTCTTTAACTGTTTCATACATGACTTAGTTTATATCTTTTGGGATAATTTAACCATATCTTTATGAAGAGGAAAGTTCTAGGTGCATAAAAATCCACTTGTGCAATCCATTGCCAGCATTCCAAAACATGGATGAATTCCAGTTTGTTTCACCTAACAGTTCCATGGCACATACATTTCTCACTTATTGCTGAAGGAAACACATTAATGTTGTTAGAATATCTATCTATCTATCTATCTATCTAAAAGCTAAGGGTCTTGTTCATTTATTTAATAGGATAAAAGGCTATGCCTCTTTAAGGGAGGTAAAAAGTTATATGAAGCCCAGGGGTTGTTTATTTATTATTTTGCTGAATGTCTTCTATTTGCAGATGGCACCACCTATCTTCAGATCCTCCTGTTTTGCTTTGGTTACCCATATAAACTTCATGTGCCAGCTTTACCTCTTGGCTTTCAGTTGAGGTCAATTAGAGAAGAACATTGCTGAAAGACCTGACATGGGCAGAATATAAACTCTAGGCTTATTTTCTCTGGTTTCCACTCCAAGATATCTCTGTGTACTTGGTGTGGTTTTCTGCCACAAATCACAGATACTACCAGAGAATGCCTATACGCAGCTCCCCTCTTCTCTGGTCTCTGTTAATTGATCCCTCCCCTTACCCACTTGCTCCCTCCCCTTACCCACCTCAGACCTATTAATGGCTTCTTCATGGTATTAGCCCCAGGACACCCCACTGTCCCCTGTGATTTCTTTACCCACTGCTCCCTGTCCAAATGTTTTTTTTAAACTCTATTAAATTCCTTTGAAATTATCCAATTTAAGTTTGCCATCTGTCTCCTGCAGGGACTCTGGCTGATAAATCCCTATAGCTCAGCTTTACCTTTATTCTGAAGCCTAAATATGATTCATGAGGAAGTTGGGGGGAGCAACACTGAGTCAGAGGGTAGAATATGAGTGGTTTTGCCTAGAAAAAAAATCGCCATGAGTTTCCTATGCCAAAAACTGGCTGTTACGATATGGCTCGCATTTCCCTACTAAAACATACTTTCCAGCCAAGGTTTTAATAGCAAAATAAAAGGTTTGGAGTCAGCATTCCTCTCCCCAGGCCAAGGGCATATTTCCCAGTTACTTCTAAATGACTTATTTTAAAAGATCCAAAATATGAGTTGCTGTGAAATGCATTCTTTCCAACAATCATAAAATTCATTTGTATCAGCAATGTGATCAATGATACTTTGTGAAAGATAAATTTTGTTTCACAATTACATAGGACTTGCTAATATCCACCATACTGCTATGGTTCCCAAGAACAATTCTAGGAACCATGAAAGTGTTAAAAAATAGAATAAAACCCAGGAAAAAAAGTATGGAAATGCTGTTATTATGAAGGTGTCTTGGTGCCTCCCTCCAGCAGAAATTGGTGGCAGTAGCAATACTGGTCACATTAAGCCCTAATTTACTCTCTAGAGTTATTGAAATCTGCAATTAGCAAAGAAAACCTTTTCTAAATGAATAAAGAAAAAAATGAAGTGCTTGGATACCTGGCACAGCCAAGAGTTCTGAATCACCGAAGCCATCCCAGGAACAGCAAGGTGAGTGACAGTGACCTACCCTGTCAGGTGTTAGCCTCCTATACATTTGGAACCCAAAACAGAGTTTTAAAATAGCTTTCCAGAAGGTTCCATGTGACTTGTCACTGGCCTCAGACAGCACAAAAGGACTGATTAGTGAGGCCATAAAGAGGAACTTCTCCTGAGGTGACTTCCAAAAGCTGTTTCTTCCAGCATAAATCTCCCTTTGAAAATGTACAACTAGCTGGGGAAAGCAGCAGCATTCTCCCCTGCAAATAGCTGAATTTTGCTCAGAAGTCCTTTTCGATATGTTTTGTATTTGTTTGTCTTTTTAGTAGACCATCTTCAAGCTTCTCAGGGTGATGTCAGGATGTAAGAACTCAAGGATGCTGTCCTCATAGTTATCACACACTTCTTTCCCACAGGCTTCAGGTGGAAAGATGCCTACCAGTTCTGTACAGAAAGCAGAACATTTTGAGCAATGGCTTCTTCACCAGATCCCACTGCCCAAGCAGTCTCAGCAATATTACTTCTAGTTTGGGTGGCCACACAAAGAGTGCTAAAGCTTTATTTGTGTTAGGAGGGCCGGTAGGGGTTATCGGGAGTCTCTGATTTCTGACTATCCAGAGGCCTTAGACTAGAGAGTCAGGTCTTTCCATGGAAGGTGGGTAATACAGGCAGAAAAACCTGTGAAATCACTATCCCATTTCTTTGCATCTGTTGCATTTTTTTAAATGCTGAATGAAGTAAAGCGATGTGCCATGGTGAGAAAATGAAGAACGTAGAACACAGGAGAAGAAAGAAGTGCCCACAGCCTGGACCTTAAGGCTTATTGCCCCTGAGCCAGTCACTGATGGAGTTCTTTTGCTCAGTCCGTCTGTGTTGTACGTAGCAAATGGATCACACTGACAGCGGGTGATCATACGCAGAATTCTCCACACTTAAGGTCAAAGATGAAGGAAGCAGAGGAAGAAGGAGAAGATATGAGAAGAAGAGAAGGAGGAGCTACAGAAAGAAACAGCCAAGTGGGTAGGAAGGAAGAAAAATGCCACAGTGAAGAAAAAAACGTAAAGGAAAATAATCAGGAAAACATTGCTTATTTTCATTTTATTTTATTTTAATCTACTCAGCTTTTAAAAATATTTATCTAAAATCTCATAGAGTTGGCATATTCTATATAGATATGCCATGAATATTTCTTCCTTCCACGATGTTATATAATGATCTCCTGGCTGGCCCCTGTTCCATTGAGGCCAAGAAGTTTAAAGTTACAAAAAATGATGGAACAAAAAATACAAGGTGTTCTTGTGTTTGGCCTCAATTAAGAAGACATTGCTTATTTACTAGCTGTGAGGTCCCAAGCTCTTTGGCTCAATTACCCGGGAAAGGTGTTAGGGAAAGGGCCTATGCTTAAGCATTCCATTCCAGGAGCGAATAAGAATGAGTTAGTGCGATGTTGTTCAAGGTGCTCATGTGCTCCTAAACTGATTTCACATCCCATTGCTTTGCTGGATGAAATTGGATTGTGCATGCTCTCTGGTCACTCTAACCTGGTGGACAGAATCAGCCCTTTCTGAAGCACAACTCAGTTTTATTGACAGAAAGTAGGAAACACAGAAGTGAAAGGCCCAGAAGAGAAATTGGGGTAAAAGCATCTCTATTTACAAGTCAGCCCAGCTGCAAGCCAGTGAACCAGAAAGGAAAGTGTCTACTCTTAAGTGCATGGCCCTGCCAGTCATTTGTCTTATTGTCACCAAAAGTAGAAATTCTCAATTTACACCTGAAATATTGATCTCTGATGTATCGAGGACTGTATGTTCCAGTACTAGATCTAAAGCCCTGGCTTTCCAGGTTAGTTTCAATTCGATCCGATCATGATTAGAGGGTCCAGGCTCATGGCAATGTGAGGACAATGTGTGATTACTCATGATTTGACTCAGTAATGCACAGAGGAGAAGACATATGGAACCCAATGAAATGAACAATACTGTGGAAAATAGACAACAAAGGTTCAAGGGATAGGAAATCATCTGCAGGTGGATGTGAGTAAAATCTGCCCAAGGATAGAGCATGGCATTAAATCTCAGAGGTGAGTGAAGTGGACACAGATGCTCTACAGAAAGGCTGAAGAGGGAATTCCAGGTTGAAGGAAAGCTTGTGCAATGGTTCAAAGCTGGCAAAGTCATGATTCCTCAATGCTAATAGACCTGAGAGAAAATAGATGACTATGAACAAAGATGAAGAATATAAGAAAATACAGTGAGAGACACAGTTATAAAGCAAGGGTACAGGGGTCATGGAGTGCCATTTGAGTTAGTTTTTACTGTCAATACAATCAATAAACATGGTTTGGCAGCTTTGGGCAGCAGCACTTTTATACAATGTATGGCCTCAGAGATTTAAGTTCAAAATGGGTTGCACTGAGTTAAAATCAATGTGTTGGCATGTCTGTGTCCCTTCCTAAGACTCGAGTAACACTCTTTCATCTCTGTGGTTTCTAGTTTCTGGTTATGTGTCACTTTCCACACCAGCATCAAAACTCTCTCATCCCCCAATACTCCTGTTTGTCCCAGTTTTCCATTATGGATGCTTCTCGATGACCCTCAGGGCTATGATAACAGCATCATGGATAATCCAGGGCAGTCTCTCACTGCTAGTGTCATTAACCAAACCACAGATATAAAGAACATTTTGTCATGTACTACAACGTAAGCTCTTCGGATTCTGTCATATAGATTTTCAGCATAGAGACATGATTCTGGCTGCCACAGATAAACTTAGGTCGAAGAGTAGATGTACTTTGGAAGTGAGGTGATGGGGAGGGTCGGTTCTGAGCATGGGCTCCTATGGGTCCTTCCTCCTTTTTCCACTGGCCCTGCTCATAGCCTTCCATTGGTGGATCAAGGTAATCAAGGACGAAGGCTTCAGTGAGGATCTGCTCACCCACCTGCATACTCAAACCTCTTATATCACTTCTGATTAATCCTGAATAAAGATGCAATACCAATTGTAAAGGTTTAAAGAAATTACTGTCGAGCATAAACACTTCCTTGTGGAAGCTGAAGAAACCCTGATGCCTGGGAACCTTCACTTTAAGAACAACTTTGTTTATTGACCTTTTTACCAATAAAGTAAGGTTGTAATAAAACGGAATATCGAATCAGTCAATTAAGTATAATGAAATCTTATGTTGCTGTATCTACCCATACATAAGTATTGAGTTTATCTTTGGGTAGAGTTACCTTTTGGTTTTTGTCTGCCTGGTATCATTTTAAAATAATTGTACTCTCCACAGTGTTCTGTCTATCATACAACTTGACCACATCTGGCCATGTGGTACATAGTAACCAAGCAGAGAACTGATCTCCTTAGAAAGAAAGAGGACTCAGTGAATGAACAAGCATGAGACTGAAACAACCTGTGTTTTCAATGGATTGAAATGTCTGGGGCAAGACAAAGAATAAAGACTGAGGGAAAGAACGACTCTTTCCTTTTGAGGTCACAAACAAATGGCATCTAAGTGTCCAGGGCTGCAATTCCCATTGCATGTATACATTCTGACGGAGAATGTGGCTAACAGACAAAAGCATAGGTAAAAACAGAGAGAAATGGAACTATTATGGTGTCATTTGAACATTCAGTACAAGGACTAAAATTAAGCTATTGCTGTGTTTTTCAATTACTTGAGCTGTATTTTCCTCTTCTATTTAAACTATTATGTGCTAAACATTTAACACTTACTGACTACTGACTCTCTCAACAATAAAAGATATTGGTTTGTGGTTTGAATTCCCTTTATTTTAAACTTTAGCCCCAACAGTGTGTGTGTGGTGTACGTGTGCACATCTGCAACATACTTAAACAACCACACACTGAGGTGGATTTAATAGAATATATTTGTAAGAGCATCTTGCATGCATGCGATATATCTCTGCCTTCCATGGGTGTGGTAGCAGAAGTATTTAAGACTGATTGGCATTTATTCTAGTGAAACTAAATGGGTGGTATGGTGCGATATGTAGAATCATGTAATGGGCATTAAAGGAAACACAGTGGGCAAAGATCTCTATAACAAACATGGTATAATTTTAATATCCAATTAGGAGTGAAGGTAGCTCTATTTGGGGTGTGAAGCAGTGGACTTCGGGTTCTAG